GCGTCCGACTTCAGCCAGGTCACGATCTCGCGGTCCGTGAGTTCGAGCCCCGCGTCGGGCTCTGGGCTGATGGCTCGGAGCCTGGAGCCTGTTTCCGATTCTGTGTCTCCCTCTCTCTCTGCCCCTCCCCCGTTCATGCTCTGTCTCTCTCTGTCCCAAAAATAAATAAACGTTGAAAAAAAAAAAATTAAAAAAAAAAAAAAAGTTACAAGTGGATATGCCATTGCGTGGGACATCGCACCCCCAACCCCCATGTTGTTCAAGGGTGAACCGTATACAAGCGGCTAAAGAAAGCATAAGAAAAACTGTCCAGCATCATTAGTCGTTAGGGAAATGTAAACCGATACCACAGTGAGATATCGTGTCACGCCCCCAAGGATGGCCACGATCAAACGACAGACCAGAAGTGTCCACAAGGCTGTGAAGATATAAGAGCCTTCATACACTGCTGGTGGGAGCATAAAAAGGTGCAGCCCCTTTGGAAAAGTGTTGGACAGTTCCTCCAAATGTCGAACATACGTGGAGTTAACACATGACCCAGCCATTCTATCCCCAGATATATGCCCACGAGAAACAACACAGGCCCACACAAAAACCGGTGCACAAACGTCTGTAGCAACAATATTCACAACAGCCAAAAAAGCAGAAACCACCCAAATGTCATCAACCAATGAATGAGTGAGGAGGTGGGGCTAGATGAAGGCAGGAGGGTGGCGCCCCCGGGAATGGGATTTGTGCCCTCACAAGGGTTCCTCTTCCTCTCTCTGCTCTCCACCACGTGTGGAGAGGCGGTGAGAAGTCAGCAGTCTACAACCCGCAAGAGGGCTCTCACCAGAACTCAACCATGCTGGCACTCTGACCCTCGGACTTCCAGTCTCAGAAACTGGAGAAATAAATTCTGTTGTCCGTACGTGGCCCAGTCTACGGCATTTTTGTTACAGCAGCCCAAGCTAAGACGGGGAGTGACAGCTGATGGGCGGGCACGGGGTTTCTTTTTCAGACGATGAAACCATTCGGAAATGAGATCAGGGTGATGATGGGACAATTCCGTAAATATACTGAAAATCACTGAACGGTGTATTTTAAGTGGGTGAACTTTATGGCATACAAACTGTATTTCAATACAGTGGTTTTTGAAAGACACACATGGGCACATCTTTGACACCAAATTGTGTTCCAGAAAGTCTACCAGTGGACACACTGTGTGTGTGCTCTTTCACAGCTATTACAAAGGAGCATTTCACTACTAAACATGGAGCCTGTATTTACATGGTATTTATCTTTTTAGAGAGTGAACAAAACCGACTCATTCAACAAACATTTGTTGATCCTCTCCTATGTGCCAGACGCGGTTCTAGGTCTGAAGACACAGTCGGGATCAAGCCAGACATGCTCCCGGCCCTTACTCAGCTTATACTGGGGACTGGGAACAGGTTCCTCACACTGGGAACTCGATCCAAGATCAGCCTCGGATCAAGCCTTCAAACCTTCACCTCAATTTCATTCCACCATCTTCCTTTTCCACCTCCTGCCACAGAAGTCCATGAAGGCATTCTCTGCCTGACAAAGTACAACTGTGCACAAACTTACAGGAAAACATTTCCTTTCGGTCTGCCCCTAACCAGACAGCAAGCACTTAATGGTCATGCACTGAAGGAACCTACAGATGAACAAGCCTGGGCCCAGGCCTTAGGAAGCTCACAGTTAGAGAGAGGAAGAACCCTGGGCATAAAAACAAAGGGACAAATCCAGGGTCGTGGGCACCGAGGATTCTGTCCAGGAAACAGTGCGATGCCGTAACAGTCAAACAAAAACAGCTAACATTTCATGCACCCCCAGTGGGTCTCAGGCACATAATCCATACGACCTGGCTCCATCCACATGGTCACCCAATAAATAGATATTATCACTGAAGACAAACTCAGTCTCAGAAGGGTTAAGTGCACTACGAAAGCAACTCGGCTAGTAACTGGGGGAAGCAGGACTCAGAACCAGTCATCCTGAGTACAAAGCCCGGTTTCTTTCGACCCGGGCAGGACTTAATCAAGGGCCTTAGCTTGGGCAAGGTTCCCGGGCCTGGGATGGGAGCCTGACTCTCAAGGGGCTGGAGCTCTCTGGGGCACCCACAGGTGACCAGGTTTGGAGAGAATGACACACACTGACCTGATTCAACAAAAGCCTGAGGACAACCTGGACTTCGGTTTAGTCTCTAAAACTGGGGCTTGGAAATTACCAAGCAGAAGGGTGCTCATATTAGAATAAAAAGAGGAGATTTTATCCCAGGGTTTTTCTCTTGTTCCATGACCATCTAATGGAGAAGCTACCTGTCTCAGGACACTTTGGCCGCTCTTTCAGGGCCGGTCCAAGTGCCAGTAGTCTCTCGATCATGTGCTTTTCTGTGGGACCCCAAACCATCCACCTCACCTCTCTGAGCCTCAGTGTGCCCACCTGTAAAAAGAGGATAAAACTGTCACCTCCCATTTATGTACCTGATACCAGCTGGGGAAGTGGCGTCACGAAGATGAACAAAACACAGCCCCTGCTCTCAAACAGGCCAGAGTCTTATCAGGGGGACAGACACGTCGCAGTCATACCTGCACCGCCCAGGGCAGGAGCCACCAGCCACAGGTATCTGCTGAGCACGTGAAATGTGGTTAATCCAAATCAAGAAGTGCCGTTAAGTGCGAACTGCATATCGGATTTCAAAGGCTTTGTAACATCAAAGGGAATGTAAGATATTCCATTAATAATTTTGTTATTGTTTGCGAGTTAGAATGGTAATACACGGAAATATTGGGTTAAATAAAATATATTACTAGAAGTAATTTCACTCATTTCTCTTTTACCTTTTCTCATCGTGGCTGCTGGAAAAGTTTAAATTACATACGTGGCTCACGATGTATTTCTACTGAGCAGCGTCAGTCAATAAAACTCAGTGAGGTCAATAAGGACAGGGACTGGGGTCAGTGATGGTCGTGGGGGCTGGAAGCGTGCAGAGGGCCGGGGGGGGGAGGCGTGGCATTGAAATCTAACTGAGACCTGAAAAATAAGAGGCTTTAATAAGGCAAAGGGGAGCAGGGAAGGCACCCCGGGCAGCAGGAAGAGTGAGTACAGGGGCCCAACAGTAAGAAAGAACAAGGCAAGGCCATTTGTGACAAAGGGTTTGGCAACCAGGCAGAAGGCAGTGTTTGGGGAGGAGACAGGGAGGGACAGAAAGGACAAAGGAGGTAGTGAGGTCAGTGGGGCCAGGCTAATGAAGGACCTTGGAAGCAACATTAAAGTACTTCACCCTGAGGGGCGTGGGGAACCAGGGAGGGTCTGAAGCAGGGAAGAGATTAGTCAGGGTCCCAGCAAAGGCAGGGAGAAGAGACAAGGGGGAGGATCTGCTCCTCGTGGAGCTGCTGCTCCATGTCAGACACCGGCCAAAGCCCCTTCAGATTCACCCATCTCACAGATGATGAAAACTGAGGCTCGCGAGCGAAGAACGAGAGACTTGCCCAAGACCACAGGGCTGTTAAACCGAGAACTGGGATCGAAACCCACCTGGGTGTGGGTCAGATGGCACTGAGACAGGAAGAGATGAGAGAAAAACAATGGACTTTATCTTACTGGCACAGAGAAGCATTAAACATACAATGCAGCAGACTGACTATCAGATTCACATTTTAAAAAGGCTTTCAAACTCTAGTATCAAGGACAGTGCTGGTGAGAGGTCATCCCCAAATAAGATTGGGGCGGTGGTAGTAAGATGAAGAGAAAGGGACTTGAACTACCACAGGATCCAATCAGGCAGGAGCTGCCAAAGGCCTTGCTCTGCGCCTGATATATAACAGGTTCTCACACAGAGTAACCGCCTGTCCAGGTCTGCCCAAGATAGGACCAGATTATGCCTGCTGTCTAGGCATAAATATTAATTGTGCCCACGTCACTCTTAAAATTGCCCCGGACTGCACAGTAGATAACGAGGGAACCCTTTCACTGAGGGTCTGTTGACGAAAACCAGCAGCCCCTCCCTGGCAGAGCTGGATAAACACTGCAGATTCTCAGTCAGGGCTCTCGTCCACATCCTTCTCCCCACTCTCCAGCAGGAGGCCCAGAAAACCAAAGGGCCCCAGCCCTGGAGCAGGCTAGGGCTCTGTCAGGCCTTCCTGCCAAAAAGAAAGCCACCGGACCCCACCAGCAATGTGGACTCCAACAGCCTCTTGGGACAGGTGCATTGGGAGGCCACTCTCAGCCCTTATTCCCCAAACTGTAGTACTGATGAGGAGGAGGAGGAGGAGGAGGAGGATGTAATGGTAACACAGGATCATTTTTCAAGCACCGGTTCTGTGCCAAGCACTGGGAAGGCATCTTCTCTTTTAATCCTCATCCCATCTCCGTTGGGTAGATATTACTACTAGTCCCATTTTACAGACGGGAAAACAGGCTAAATCATTTTACCAAAGTCACCCAACTAGTCGGTTTAAAGGGTGGGATCTGAATCCAGTTCGGGCCAACTCCGGCCAAGGTTCTTAACCGCTGCACTTCACTGCCTCCGTCTTGGTGGCCACTATGTGAGCCGGGGAGCAAAGTCGGGACAAACCAACTACCTCCCCACGATAAAAGCAAACCCCCAAATCAGAATGAACCTCAAGTGCCCCCAAGGGCGCTGCCCCTCAACCAGCCCCCACTAATGGTACACCCCCAGAGGTCCCCCTCGCCACCCTCTTTCAGGAACCCCCTTACTTGACCCTCACACCCTCTTCAAAGCACGTCTCGAAATAACCCCACGGAGGTGTTAGGCGGGTCAGGACCCCTACCCCGCACCCCCGACCCCACCCTCAGTACCAGCTGCTATAGGTGCTCGAGACACCTACCCCAAGACCCCAACCCACACACTGCCCCCGTCCGGAAGCCCTCAATCACCCTCAAGAGCAAACCCCCAAGTCTCCGTTAGGGTGTACCCCCATCAGCGGGAATCCCGGCCGCGTCACCGCGCCCCTGCAAAGCCCGGGCCGCACCTGCAGCCGCCGAGCGTCCCGGGGAGGGTGACGTCCTCTTCCAACACCGACTCCATCATGGACACAGAGAAGGTGGTGGCGTTGGTGTCCGTGGCGGCGGCGCCAACTGGTTCCCCCGGCTGTCGCGACCCGCAGACTCCCCAGGTCCCCGCCCCCTCCAATCCTGCTCTTGTTCGGACTCTGGCGGCGCCGCTGGAATTCAAACCGCAGCCGCCGCCATCTTTCCCGGCGCTTCTTCCTACGGAAACGAGGCGGGGTCATCGAGGCGCGCGCGGTGAAGCCGAATAGCAGGGGCCAGAGGCAGGGCAGGGAAGCGCGGGCGGGTGCCATCTTGACTAAGGGCAAGAGCATTCGCACTTGCCCGGCAAGACTAAGGAAAGAAAGGCAGGCTGCCATTTTTTGTGAGGGCACTCAGGCCGAGGCCAGGGCACGCGCCATCTTTATTGAGGGCAAAGGCAGGCCTCGGTCCGTTAATTTAAGCGGGAGATGGGAACCTAACCCTCAAAGTTCACCGACCCTCGAAGTTCCTAACCCAGTATGTGCTTCTCTAGAATAATGACCCCAACCTTAGAGTCTGTGCCTCCAAAAGGCTTCCGCCTCGAGCTGAAACTCAGATAATCCCGGGCTGCGTCACTTGAGAAGAAGCCTACCTGCGGAATCCCACCTCAAGCAGTCATTTGCACACTTAGGTTGAAGCAAATAAGCTCATCCTTTTGAGCCAGTGGTCGGAAACATTCCTCCAATCTCTCACCAGGGATCCCTTATTCCTTTTAGGGCTCAAGCGCACCTGAGATCAGTAAACTGAGGCCCAGAGAGAGGAAATGACTCTCCCAAAGCCGTGCACGGTAAGCGTGTCGACAGCAGCCACACCCACGGCTCCTGCCAACTAGACCGGGGCTCTCCACAACGCTGGCTGCCGTTCTTAATGCACAGATCAATCACTAAACACAGATAATTTTGACAGAGCTGGGTCAGTGAAGTCAACCTTTCTCTCCCCATCTCAGCATTGCTACCTTCCTCTGCAGGCGGTCAGAAGGATCCTGGATGAAAATGACCTGAAAAGATGGGTGAGCAAGTAGATGGTGACTTTCCCTGTAATCATGTATAAGTCCTCCTTCTGCCTCAGTTTCCTCACGCCTGAGTGGAAGTGTACTTTCCCAAAGAGGCCTTCTCTAACCCCCTAACGTAAATCAAGGCCTTTCTTGTATTCTTAGCAACTCAGATTTTTCTTTTGTGGCAATCACAGTTTGCAATTATATATTTCTGTGTTTTAAAAAAAAAAAAAAGTCTTCCTTTTGGAGCACCTGGGTGACTCAGTCAGTTAAGCGTTTGACTCTTAGTTTCTCTCTCTCTGCCCCTCCCCCGTTTGCTCTCTATCTCTTTCTTAAAAATAAATCAATAACAAGCTTTAAAAAAAAATTCTTCCGGGGCGCCTGGGTGGCTCAGTCGGTTAAGCGGCCGGCTTCGGCTCAGGTCACGATCTCCCGGTCCGTGAGTTCGAGCCCCGCGTCAGGCTCTGTGCTGTTTCAGATTCTGTGTCTCCCTCTCTCTGACCCTCCCCCATTCATGCTGTCTCTCTCTGTCTCAAAAATAAATAAACGTTAAAAAAAAAAAATTAAAAAAAAAATTCTTCCTCTTGCTCTAGCCTGGAAACTCCATGAGACAGAAACTGTGTCCTGAATTGTTCACTGCTATGTCCCCAACACTATGCCTGCCACCCAGAAGGTGTTTGAAAACAGATGTTGAATGAATGCTCCCATCAGTCTGGAAAAGGGGGTTAATACCTGTCCTGCAAGGTTATAGTGAGGCTGTGAGGATGATCTGAGACGGCTTTAGTAGCCCCGTCGATGGTAATCCTGTCAGTCGCTCGTCCCAATCCTTTATGACCTTCAGTGAAGTCTACAAAACCCATGGTCCTGCCCCTTCCCTCTTCCTTAACCAGCTCTGCACCCACCCCTAAATCAACAACCCCCGAAACAACAGCCTGAAAGAGAGAGTGGGCAGGAACCAGTCGGCACATCAGATGCCCCGGCCCAGGGAATGGGCAGTCCTCGACGCCTGGGACGGTGCTAAGTTCAACCAAAGAGTTGAGTGTGTCCAAAAGCAGGGCAGCTGGAGGGGGCAGGATGCCTGCCCTGGTTCTGCCCACTGACTCTCTGTGATCTCTGCAGACCACTCTTCCGGGCCTTACAGTACGTACATCTCTAAGATCAGAAGGTTGGACTGCATGGATGTCTCAGGACCTCACTGCTCTTTGTGTTTATTTCAAAGCCACAGAGACACCACCCATTCTGTTCCTGGGGAGGGAGGTTGAGTTACTAATCGTCACTTCCCAAGTGAAAGAACTAGCTTTCCATCCAGCAGATGAAAAGCGCTTGAGGAAAGAAACAGAGAGGGGACTCACACATTTTGAGCGTCTGTCACAAGGCGTCACCTCGCTGACATCCCGCGGCAGAGTCCTCTGGAACAGGTGCGACCGTCATCACCGTTTTACCCACAGATAAGAAGACTGAGACCAAAAGAGGTAAAAATAACCCAGTCCCGGTCTCACTGCTGGTCAGTTGCAGAGCTGGGACTGGCGCCCAGGTCCCTCTAAACTCCGATGCCCTGATTATTTCCGGCCGCCCGTCTTTCCTATTTATTTTTCTCCGCTTGAGAATCTAGGAGGGAGAGGTGAGGTCTACACCCAGAAAACAGCATTTCAGTGGCATGTTCACCGGACTCCTCTCCTCGGACCACTGCTTTCAGGTGGCCAGGAGGTGTATGTTAGTGTGGGCAGTGTGACTGCAGGGCTGGAGGTCAGGGCAGCCGGATTCTGACTCTGGAAAGTCCTCCAACTTATCCCGTGACTGGGGTCCCTTCCCCTTGCTCCTCCTTGGTTTTCCCATGCATAAAATGGGGCAGACAGCGCTGGGCTCACATGGCTGCATTTTCTAATTGGATGCTTTGGAAACTATAAAGAAAGAGCCTGTGAGGAGCTCTCCTTCCGATGAATACATCGCCCTGTCTAGCAAATGACCGTGTTCCCGGATGGTGTGTGCTAAACCCTTCAGTGAACCTGGAAACTGAAAACAGCATCAATTGACAACGGATAGCCTATGTGGGAAGTTGTTTTTCCCATGTTCACGGTCACGGACGAAGCCCTTTGCCCCGTCTGTGTCTCATCCTGCCCTTTCTTTCTGCCAGGCCTGGAGATGATGTCACTCCCACCAGCTGTTTGTGCTATCTGGCGCCCTCTCCTTGACAACAGCCGCCCGGCCACAAAGCTGGCATTATTATTCTTTGGGCCAGGTCACAGCGAATGGCTGGGAGGAAGTCGCTTCCAGCCAGATGTTTCTCATTAGGGTAGAACCCTCCTGAAGCTGTAGCAGTTCAACCATCTCATCAAGACACGTGAGCTGCCATTACTCACAGCAAAAACAACTTTGTAGCATGAATACATCCACGTTGGAGCGAGTGCCCCCCTCTACAGACGAGGAAACTAAGGCTCAGGGAAGGAAAGAGACTTGAAAACAGTACAAAACATGCCCCGCGTAGGCGTCACCCGGCTTTCTAATCCATTAACATCTTCCATAACCATGGCATAGTCGTCAAAAAAAAGAAATTACATCGATACAACACTATTTACCGCAGACCTTATTTAAATGTAATCAGTTTTCCCATGAATGCCCTTCCCCTGGCCAAGGATCCAATCCAGGATTCCACACTGCATTTACTCATTATGCCTCCTTACTCTCCTCCAGTCTGTGATAGTTCCTCTGTCTTTGGATTTCATGACATTGACACCCGCACGAAGTTCTTGTCAGTTACTTAATAGAACGTCCCGCACTTTGGGTTCATGTGGTGTTTCCTCAGGATTAAATGGAGAGAGGTTATGCGCTTTGGGGAAGAATGCCCCCAGAAGTGATGTTGTACCTTTCTCGGGGTATCAGGAGGCAGATGATGTTGACATATGTCTCGCTAACTGGTGATATTGACTCAGATCCTTACTAAGGTGGTATCTGCTAAGATTCTCCATGGTAAAATTATTCTTTCTCTTTGTCTTTTCTTTTTGTAATTAATAAGAATCTCGTGAGGTGATATTTGAGACTATGCAAATATCCTGTGTTTCAGCAAACTTTCAGCCACTAATTTTAGCATCCATTAATAATTCCTTCCTAAAACAATTATAACAGTGGTACTTGCCAATTGGTGATCTGCTATTTCCATCATTCCTTCTATATTTTTTTAATTTTTTAAATTTTATTTTAGAGAGAGAGAGAGAGAGCATGAGTGAGGGGGAGGGGCAGAGAGAGAGACAGAGAGAGAATCCCAAGCAGGCTCCACACTCAGCACAGAGCCTGAGGCAAGCGCTCGATCCCACCACCCTGGGATCATGATCCAAGCCGAAATCAAGAGTCGGACGCTCAACCAAGGGAGCCACCCAGTTACCTCTCCTTCTGTATTTTTTTAAAGATTTTATTTTTAGGGAGGCTGGGTGGCTCAGTCGGTTAAGCGTCCAACTTCAGCTCAGGTCATGATCTCACAGTCCGTGAGTTCGAGCCCCGCGTCAGGCTCTGTGCTGACAGCTCAGAGCCTGGAGCCTGCTTCAGATTCTGTGTCTCCTCCTCTCTCTGCCCCTCCCATGCTCAAGCTCTATCTCTCTCTGTCTCTCAATAATAAATAAATGTTAAGAAAAAAAAAATTTAAACCCAGAGGCTGGCTATGAGAGAGTCAAAGGCTATGGGGAAATGATCCAGCACCCTTCCCAGCTGCACATCTGAATATGCAAAACAGTAATAGCCGTAGGCAAAAAACAGGTAATTGAATTAATCAGTTGTCTGGACATTTTGCAGCTTAAAAGATGCACTTAAGGGGCACCTGGGTGGCTCAGTCGGTTGAGCTTCTGACTCTGGATTTCTGCTCAGGTCGTTGTCTCACGGTTCATGAGTTTGAGCCCCGTGTCGGCTCTGCACTGACAGCGTGGAGCCTGCTTGGGATTCTCTCTCTTTGCCCCTCCCCTGCTCATTTTCTAAATAAGTAAGTAAATAAACAAACAAACAAATATTTTTCAAAAATAAATAAATAGAAGATGCACTTAATGTGCATCCTGCAAGGATGTGGTTGTAAACTGCGGCCTCTCCCTTAAATGCAGTGACTTTCTATTGAGAGAGCTGGTCAGGACCAGGGTCAGAGGGCCACAAGTAGGTGGCCACTGCACTTACTTCCTCGAAGGGATGGATGTAAGGCCCTTGGCTTTTGCAAACGCCTTCCCGCCTGTCCAGCAGGCCACCGGGTACCCCGCGTAGATTGTGCCCTGCTTGAGGACACCCAGCCAAAGGACAAGTGGAGGCTGAAATCTAGCCCCTGCTCTGCTTGCCGAGCTGTGGGTTCTGTTCCCCAAGAGGAACCCATTCCAAAGAAGGGGCATCCGTTTCTGACTTGCCCAGAGGAACTCATTGTCCACGTGGCTATCGAACCCTGGAATGTGAATGGGGAACTGAATTTTTATTTATTTAAAAAAAATTTTTTTAATGTTTATTACTTATTTTTGTGTGTGAGAGCGAGAGGAAGAGAGATGGAGAGTGAGCAGGGGAGGGGCAGAGAGAGAGGGAGACACAGAATCCGAAGCAGGCTCCGGGCTCTGAGCTGTCAGCCCAGAACCCGACGCGGGGCTCGAACTCACAGACTGCGAGATCATGACCTGAGCTGAAGTCCGACACTCAACTGACTGAGCCAACCAGGCGCCCTGAGGAACTGAATTTTTAAAAACTTTACCTTACTGGGGCGCCTGGGTGGCGCAGTCGGTTAAGCGTCCGACTTCAGCCAGGTCACGATCTCGCAGTCCGTGAGTTCGAGCCCTGCGTCGGGCTCTGGGCTGATGGCTCAGAGCCTGGAGCCTGTTTCCGATTCTGTGTCTCCCTCTCTCTCTGCCCCTCCCCCGTTCATGCTCTGTCTCTCTCTGTCCCAAAAATAAATAAACGTTGAAAAATAAAAAAAATAAAAAATAAAATAAAAACTTTACCTTACTTAAATTTAAACAGCCACTTGAGGCTGGCGGCTACTATATTCACATAGATACAAAACATTTCCATCGTCCCTGAAAATTCCCCTGTGATGCAGTCAATCTCCCTTCCACCTCAGGAAAAACCACTGATCTACTTTTCTGTCATTAAAGATTTGCCTTTCTAGACTTTGATATACCTAGGACCATACAATATGAACTCTGGCTTTTTGATAGCAGAGACTTTTAATTCTGTATTGTAGGGTCTATTATAGTGTCCGGCAGATAATAGGTGAGAGAATGAATAAACCCTAACTGGAATTAACGATCTTATCCCCAAAACTTTTCTCCTCCCCCGAGAGAATACAAGAGTGAGAAGGGCGCTCACAGAGGACATTTAACTAAATCCCTTGGATGTAGCGATGGATAAACTGAGCCCCAGATGGGGTCAGTGGCCTGCTTCAGTTCACCCCGTAAATTTATAGCAGAGCCCGGATTCCAAACTAACCATGCAGCCTCCAAAGCCCGTACCCTCCTCCTTCGGCAGTGTTCACTTCCCATCCATTCCCGTGGGCCAACGTGGCAACTCTTGTGAATCCCTGGGGGACCACAGGGATGCAGACAACAGGCCCCAACGCCCGCTTCAGCCTCCTGGGGATGCCACCCTGGCCCGGAGATCCCCCCGCTGAAAACCAAGAGACAGCAGCAATTCAAGTTAGAGAAGTATTTTGTTTCCTTCCAAATATACCTAAAACCTAGGAGTGGCCTTACTCCAATACTGGGACGTGGGTTGGTTTTCTACCCAGAAAACCAGGCACCTGGTCCCAGATCCAGTTCCCCACTCATTGGACAAAGAACAGCCCTGGTTTGGGTGGGGGGAGAGGGGATAAGGCTTGTGTTGAAGATCTCTTAAAACAAAGGGGACGGAGGGAGAAACCATCATTCATCATAGCTATAGCACGCGTCGGGGTGCTTCCCATTTAAGGTTTACTTCAAGGTCGATGCAACCCTAAGGTCAGTATCATTCCTTTTACAGAGTAGGACTTTTACAGTAAGTAGGACTAAGTGCCATTACTCACTTCCCCGAGGTCCTCCGGTTGTGAAACCTGCCCCGGGGGCCATATCGCTCTGCTTACTGCTACCGATAGTTTCTTTAGAATTCCACTGAAGAGATTTTTCGGTTGATGTTCCAGCATGCATCCTTTAATTCGGTAGTAATAGCTAAGTAAGAGATGTTGCCGGTTGCTGAGGAGCTCAGCGAAATTTGGGCGTCAACTGCTAATGTAACCTTTGCCCTGGGTTTGCTGGCGTCGTAATGATCTCTGTCTTTTCAGACAAAAAAGGTGAGGTACATATTATGAGGAAATAAAGTGAATTCTTTACCCCGGCGCCACACCTGTCAACGTCGCTACCTTTTCATTTTAATTAAGGAAATTCGAAATATAACTGTCACCAAACTCTGATTCTTGCTCCAGAGGACAAAGGCCCTCTCCGTTTCAGACAATTCCTTTGGAGATTAATGGACCGTTGGAGCCCATACA